TCATTTGATTAACATTCATCTCCCTCACTTGACTGTGAGTTTCATTACAAGGGACGTGACTGTTTGGTTCAACCTGAGTTCGCAGTGACATACGGTAGGTACTCAGTAGGGATTATTCTGAATAAATGAATAAAAGATAATTTCCCTTTATGTTGTGCTGTGCAGACACAGCAGATAATATAGCAAAATGTTTAAGCATATCCCTTAAACTGCTCAGAACAGAGAAAAAAATTATCTTTCAAAATCCTTCTGAGCAGTGAGTGTGAACTTTGACACCTTGGCAGAGCAGACAGGATGCTGGGACACTGGAGGATAGGGGCATCTTTTTCCAACTGACAAGCCAGCCCTCCTGTTTTGTCTGAACAGGACTCCCCCGATGGGTGTGCATCTGAACCAGAGAACCAAGGAGGCATTTCTTACTCCTCTCTCCTCTCTTTATGCTGTGAGAAATCTATTCTCCTCCATTATCTAGGCTTACTGAACGTAACAGAAGGTTTTAATCCATGAAAATGAAAAATGCTTCCCATTTCAACTCCATTTCCTGCTTCTCTAGGTAAAACAAACTTTCCCTGAGGAAATGATGTAAATGTGCTCAAATATTCTTAAAAGATCCCCCATAGCATAAAATATTTAAGAATGCAACCATGTTTCTTTTCATTTACATGTAAAAAAGAAATATGTATGTGGTAGTGGGAAAAAAAATATGGATAAGAGGAAATGTTTTCCAATCCCTGTTTTATTGTCAGCTCCCTCCCCAGTGCTTGGATTTCCTTGTCTGTAAAATGGGCTTGGTGAAAAGATGTCTTACCTATCTTACAGAATTATTGTGAAGAATCAAATTAAATAATACACATAAAAATCCTTGAAATACTATGAAAGCTGATGCAAATGTATACTGTCACTTCTGCTACAAGACCCCCATGCCATATTTCCTCAACAGCCTCAGTCCCTGCGCCTCTTTGTGCCTGGCAGGCCATTCATTTTCCTTTAGCACGGACAGGAGTGATCTTCTGTTATGTCACTTGAACAGACGGTGAAGGCCACTGATTTTGGAGTCGACAAAAATGGTCCTGTTCCCACAAACCTTCTGGGAAAGTCCACAGCTCCTCTCACAGTCTTTTCAAGACAGATGTACGAAGGGGTATGAGTCAAAGCCCCTTTGAAAACTGTAATTTCATTGCCAGTATGGATTTAAACATTAATGGCTTTGGTGTCCATTTGTAAAATGTCATTTCTGTTGGTTCCATCCTAGTACCTGACACAACAGAAAACCACAAATCCACGTCCTTTAATAAAATATAAAAGTCTACATTCTCTGTATAATATATGTCTACTCAAGCTATACTAATTTCTTCTACAATTACTTTAAATTTTTAGCATTTTCATTTGGCTGCTATACTACATAATTAATGGTGTTTACATGAAAAGTTTCTTCAACTAATGTGAATGGTCTAAGTGGATTACTGAGCAAGGCTTAATACAAATAAACATTTTTCTCCTTTTAGAATATCCTTAACTCTCCTCTGAATGCCTGGCACAAAAGTGGAGTTTTTTAAATATCAAGGGGGATGCAGAAATCAGGCTTCTGAAGTCCATTCTCCCCTGGTTAGACAGGCTTATAATTCTGTTTCCTGTAATGGCTGGCCTGGGGGAGTCAACAATGACCTTGCTCACCCAGCACATCCACACTCAGAAACCTGTCTTTTCTTTGGGAGGTTGCCACTGTTTTTCTCCATGACCTTAAACATAACACAATATCTGGCCCTTACAGATCATTTCCTGCAGAGTTTGCAGGACTGGAGACGAGATAATCATATGACAAATAATCTCACTGTAAGGACCAGGAATAAAACCTACCAGGTTTCTAAATACCTCCATCATCATGATTACATTACCCAATTGTGGCAATTACTGGGACTGTCCCTCCCAGTCAAATTTCAGAATACATATATTTTGAGCAGCAGCATGGAGCCAGGTTACTATAAAATACAGTTGGCATGGCACTCACTATCTGTCAGGATAAAATACATTATTTTTATAAGGTATTCTCAAGGGAAAGCATTAACATTTTTTTTAAAAAAAGCCATTTCTTTACTCCTGTTCTCCCAGAAGCAAAGCCAGGGGGTAGGAGTAAAGACGCCTCCCTTCACATCACACATCCAGCCCTAAGTGGGGTGGAGGTGGGGAGCCTGGCTCCAGGTCATCTCTGGAAGAACATGCAGTGTGTCCTCTAAAGCAGTGGTCCCCAGCCTTTTTGGCACCAGGGCCTGGTTTCATGGAAGACAATTTTCCCATGGACCAGGGTGGGCATGGGTAGGTATGGTTTGGGGATGCTTCAAGAGCATTACATTCAAGCTCATTTCCTGCTGTGTGGCCCAGTTCCTAACAGGCCTGGACTGGTACTAGTCCACAGCCCAGAGCAGAGGTTGGGGACCCCCTGCTCTAAAGTACCCTTGGAGTTATCTCAGGAGCTGCAGACCAGACTGAATACCAGCAGGCATTCTCTAGAACAGTCTTCAGTCTCAGAACTGACCATAGAGCTGACCAGGCCTTGAGATCTAAAAGAAAAATTCAGCCCAGGTGAGCTCTGAATAGACATTCCAAAACACAGAAATCCCTGCACCAGTCCTGTCCAGATTTCCAGGGTTGGCTTGGGATTGGAGTCTAAACCTGAAGTACTGGTCAAATGCCTTTGACAAGCATGTTTGGAGTGAGCAAAATTGTGTAAGAACCATCACTCTACTAAGACTTTTACATCACTTGAAATATGTTAAAATGTGTACATATCCTACATTTAGTAATTTTGCTAATAAAGAATTTTTATAATTTTGCTTTTGAAATTATTTGGTTAAAGTAACTAATTTAAAATATGCTATGATTTCTCAACACTCCTCTCTATTTAGGAAGTTTCACTCAATAAGAGCATTTCATCTAAAAACTGTTTTCGAATGTACTGAAATTATTATGAGCATTAAATCCAACAATTGATAAAGCTGATTCAGTATTATATTTGTGACCATTTAATAAATGTTCGTTAATCTTGCTGGGAAGTTTTTTTATTATGGACACAATAATTTTTCCTGGTCATACTCTAGACATTTTCCCAAGCACAATTTACATGCCCAGCATTGTGAGTCCCATTCCTACAAGTTAAACTGGTCCTCTGGGCTCTCGGCACTCAGCCAAGCACTCCCCAAGTGACTGGACATTGACTACAATGAGTTCTCAGGGATTCCCAGCCATTCCATGGGACTTCAGCCCTCAACCAAAACAATCATGTGGACGCACTAAGTCTTGTGCCATCCCCTGAACAACCTACGAAATTCTTACTAATGAAACTAGATTTCCAAAAATTGGTGAATTTTTGTCTCCTTGGAGAAATTTACCAGTAACCAATGCTGAAAACCTTCACTATTGGTCTTTGGTGAAGTCATTCTTCTTCAGTGGATGAAATCAGGTTTCACAAATCCAATTTATTTTGTTTTTCAACAAGAAATGAGATTTGGAAGCTGATATGGAGTTGCATTTGTAGGAAGCTTTCCTATCACTCCACAAAATGTGACTTATGCATGCTCCACCAGAGGTGTTTATAACTAGACCCAAGATAACATCTTTAGTGACATTATATCAGCAGCTGTTAGGTGGAGTGCACTTAGTGAACTGACTTATTTTTACCCTTGAAAGATTAGGTCTTATCAGAGTGTATCAACTCAAAAATAATCACAGGTAGTCAGTTGACAGTCACAAAATCCCCTCTTTTGTTATCAGCAAATGCTGGAGTGATAAAGTAAGAATTTGAAAACTCTACTTTCTAGATGTGTCCTCTAACAATGTCACATAAACAATGTGATTTGTTTAAAGGCTTTATTTCTGATCTTGGTTTGTATCTTTTTAAAAACTCACTGAAAACATATTGAGTGTTAGTGGTAAATTCATGGATACTGGCATCAGACAGCATGAAATGGAACCTCAGGTCTAGAATTTTCTAGCCTTGGGAACCAGGACAAGTTATTAAACCTCCATTTCTTCATCTGTAAAATGGTACTAAGAATACTTAATAGGATTGTTCTCAGGATTTAACAAATTAATGTGTGTAAAGCTGTTGGCAAGCAATCAATAAATGTTAACTCTGAGTATTACTCTTATCATTATTCATCATTTTCTCATTATTTCCAGTACCAGCATCCAAGCCACCACACCTACCCCTGAACTACTTAGCTGCCTCCTGCCTTCCCTGCTTGTACTAGGCTCTCACCCACCCTAAAGTCTCCTCATCTTAAACCTGAATGGGCCCCTCAGAAGGAAAGGTGATCAGTTCAACCCCCTTCCCAAATGCAAACAAAATCAGAGTAAAACAAAAATTCCTTCAGCTACCCTTAGCAAAAATCTGAGAGGCCCTGTAAGGCCTGACTCCTGCCCACACTCTTCAGTCTGTTTCCACTTCTCTCCCACTCCCTCTGCTGCTGCCATACTTGTCTTCCGTGCATTGCCCATGCCGAACTCTCTTCAGTACCAGTGCTTTCTAGGCCTGGAGAGCTCAGTCCCAGACCAGCCAGGCTCTGTACATCCCAGCCCAAAAGCTAAACCTGTTTAACTACATCACATTCATATTTTTTCATAGTTCCATATTCCTTCCCTTTCAAAGCACCTAAGCTCATTGAACATATAACCTATTTAAAGGATCATTTCCTAAGGTCTGACTTGCCTAAACAATTTTGAATTTGCAGAGGGTACAACTGCCAGTTTCGTATATAATCGTGTTCTTCATAACCTAGCTCAGTCCGGACCCGGAGGAGAACAGTAAACATGGAGTGAATGAATGCAGGAAGGGGCTGAAATAGATTGGACTGCACATGCTCAAAAAGTTGGCCAGCACACCTGACGCTTGTTATTAAATAGTCCCCAAACACACCGGGTCACATTTCCGTACCCTACCCCCCCCCACTTTTTAACAATTAGGCCTTTGTGTCGGTGTCACTCTTTTCACGCATAACGGCCCAGGCGCCGCCACCCTTCCGCGGGCCGGTGTGCTCAGATCTGAAGGTCGTGGACACAGGTCTGAGCTGCGGCGGAGCGGACGGAAACCCGGGACTCCGGGCTCGGGGCTGGCGCCCGGCCTTCTCGGGCGGAAGTGCGGAGCGCAGGGCGGAAGCGGCGACGAGAGACTCAGGTAGGTGTCAGTGACCCCCGCGCCGGCAAGCGAGCGCTGGCGGACCTTGCGCAGAGCCTGCGGGCAGGCGAGAGAAGGGCACAAAGGAGCCCCTGGCTGCGCCACACACGGGCAATTTGGATTGTCGTGAGAGGGACTTTAATTAAACCGGGAGCCATAAATCCGTGAACCACCCGGAGGGGGTGTGGGGGGTTATAAATGTGTGTGTGTGTGTGTGTGTGTGTGTGTGCGCCATGGCGCTCTGGGACGTGAACAGCATAACGGGCGGAAAAAGGCACCTTTTAAAGAGAAAGCAGAAAACATTTTAACTTCATGCTGTTTACAGTGATTCACAGATGCTCCGTCATTGATTCAATTAACTTCTATGAGGTGACAGTATAATCTAAATTGGCCGCCCGCTGAGATGGTTCTTTTTTTAAACAAATATTTTTGAACAGCCATGTTGACCTTTAATTGGGGTTCAAAAGGTTGAAAGATGCAATAGGGAATAGTGTGAGCCCAGTGCTCTCTGGACTTCCTCTCTGATTGGGCAAAAGCAGCCCTCTGGGTGCTGAAAAATGAGAGGATAAATCAGAGACTGTACAGTTCTCAACAAATACTTAACCTTGTCAGTTACCCCAGACAAATATCAGCTCATGCAATTTTTTAGTAAGTCCAGAGGTAGAAGAGTCCCATCCACATTATTACTAACATGAATAGGCAAGTGCCCATTTCTAAGGCTGTCTTTAACAAGGAGATTTTGGCCTCGGTGATCTTTATTCTTGTTTTTTAATAGAAAGCTCTATATATTACTCTATATTTTAGAGCACTTTTTTAAAAATCCACAGCATGGCCCGGCTTGATCCCAAGATTTTCAGCTCCTCCAGGACAGGGAGAGTGTCTAGGATCTGCTAGATCCTAATTCTTTCTAGCATATTTACTAACACAAGCAGGGCTCCTGTACCTACACAGCCACTGGGGTCATGTCTCAGTGTACATGACACTGGGCAAGTTGAGGTGGTTATTAGAGGCCACATTCTTCTCATTTAGTAACTATCTGAGAAATAGCTGATGAAAATGCATATGAAACTCTCTACCAATATTTGGAGTTGTATACGTTGAAATTGAAAACACTTGGGAAAAAAGGTATACCCTGGAAATAGTGAATTTATAGTAATATTGGAGTAATCATGCTCTGGGTGAAATGTTGTAGCCTAGTGACCTGGGTCCTGCTCTGCTCAGGAATTGCCTGAAATCAGAAAGGTCCTGCCATGAGAATTAAGATGGGCTGGGCTGATAATTTAGGCAGGCAGACTCCCTAGGTTTTCTTTCTTCATGCTGGCTGTGGCCAGTAGTAGCCTCCTGCCAAGGAAAGATCAATATTTTTTGTCTCCTTCACCAGAGGAAAATGTGGCTCTGTGGTTTTATTTAGGTGGATTGATGGCAGAATAGAAATGAGGATTTTCCAGCTTGGGAATTTATTTGACTGTATTTCTATTTTATTCCAGATGCCTGACTCTATCACACTCTTTTAAGTACCCAGAGCTACGTGGAGCTATGCCTTCAAAATAAGTTATTTTTTACTATTAAAGTTTTTGTGCATACTCTAGCTGGCTTATGCCTTCAGTTATTCTAATGCTAGGGCTCCAGGTTTCACATGTTAGCAGGACCTTGAGACGATCTGGTATAAGTAGTAAGGTTTTTTTAATGTTCCTTATTTTAAATCTAATCTTGCCATTGCTTTATTCAAGGAGTGTACATCAGAGGAAGCCAAAAGCCAGCTGGAATAGTTCCTGCATGCAGTTTTAATCTTGTTTGCAATTATTTTGAAGGGGAGAAACCATCTGGATCCAGAGATGTGTAGCTGCACAGGTAGCAGGGTCTAGGCAAGCTTCCTTCATCCTTCCCCCACTTACAACACAGTATGTTCAAGGGACAAAATCATTTGAGGAAGAATATGCAAAATGAAAGGTTTTGGCTAAGTTTCACAGAGGTATTATTCCATATCTCTAACTCCCCATCCCAGTTATAGCTGCAGGGAACTGGAGGCATAAAAACATTAGTTTCTTTCTTATTTCAGTGTTTATCCAAAATAAGATTTCCAGAGATAAGAGGCAAAACTTTCAAAATACCTTCTATTTTAAGATAGTACCCATCTCCAAGGATTTCAAAGCATTTTACCAGTAATATCTAGTAACAGCCATTTTTGCTGCTATAGGCTTCATCACTGTGGTATTGTATTATTTGTTTGTAAATCTTCCTGTCCAAGGTGTGCGTTCCCTAAGAGCAGGGAAAATATCTTAATCACTTACATTTCTAGTATGTGGCACAGTGTCTGTCACATTGCACTCAGTATGTGCTACAGAAATGAAAAGACAGCATCCCTATAAGGATTGTGAAAACATCATTGGGAATGCAGCAAGGTAGAGAAAAGAATATAAAACAATTACTTTTCAAGGGGTTACTGGACACAGTGATAAATGCTGCAGTTATTAATGCTTTAATAAACAGCCCAGAATGGGGAAAGGCATACTTGAGAACCCATAGATATGATCACCAAACTGCCTTTCAGGAAGATCTGGTCAGTTGCAGGGCCTTGTTTGTTTTGAATGGAATATGCAAGCTGAAGGGCTTCACTAGCCCTGTCTCCACCCTCCCTCTGGCCCGCCATGCTCAACTCCTCACCCAAACACATGTTGAGCAAATATAGAGTCTAGCAGAAGTAACACCTGCTGGAATGTGGTTGGTAGGGCACATGAATGTCTTGCACGAGATGGACAGCATTTGGAACATTTTACCTAAAGTGTTGTATGGTGTCCTTGAGTGTGATATTGTTATGTTACAGAATTACATGCTTATGATTTTGTAATGAAAAGGGGGTTTTATTTGTGCTGGACCTGTATTTGAATAGTATCCATTTGAAGAGTGCCCTAGATATTAGGTTATCTAGGGCACTAATATCTTGATTTGGTCCTGTCTTAAGGATGGAGAGCCTATGCATGGTCACTATTTTAAGACTGGGTTGTCCAAATAATACTGGAGGAAAGCCACAATCATCTTTTCTACTTTGCTAACATTCCAAAGGAGTTCTGAGTCAACAGTTTTTTGTGTGGTAATTGGGCGGGCATGTGGTATTTGCCGCTTCCTTCTGTTGCAAATGGAATTGCAGCAGAAACCAGAATGTTTCTACTGGAAATAAATGAACTTCCTTTCATCATTCCTGTACTTTTCATATTAGTCATGAAATAATGGGGAAATGGCTGCTAGTTTAATCTGGAGAAAGACCATGAGATTATTTGATTTTTAACACTTTATATCTTTATGGAATGAAGGAATTTTCAAAGAGAAAGGATACTGTTACTTAACAGAAAAGTCAGTAGATTAAGACAACTTAGGACATAAGACTGAAAAAAAAAAGATCTAAATTCAGCTTTGTTCTCTAGGTTCAAAAATGAAGTTAATCCAAATCTTTTTTTATTTCGAGATCAGAACTTCATTCCTCTGCCATCTAAAGCTGAGATTTTCCTCATTCTCTCCATCCTTAAAGTAGGCTTAAACAAATGTGGTATCTGTTATTTGGTATACCCTGAGGATTAATGTAAAGCTTTCTGAGATTTTTTTTTTTAAAGAAAGGGGATTGAACTTGGAGACCTCTCTTAATTCTGAAAATTCTGTGTTGATCTCATTATGTATAAAATAGGCCATTCATTGTTCAGGGGGAAAATACAGAGAAATGAACAAATGCAGAATGGAAGCCTTTGGTTAAGCATTAGTTTCTTTATCCATAAAGCAAAGGGATTTCCAAAGTCACTTCCTTGTTCCGAAATATTTTATCAGTGTTAGCTGTTAAGTAACAGAATTGGATTCAGAAGGTTGTAAAACATAACTGAGGGTTGGTAGGGCCTGACCTCAATAGTGGATGGTTCCCAACATTCAGATCGAGCACAGTACTGCACAGGCCTAGGTACTGTTGGTATCACAAGTCCAAGGAAATGTTAGAGGTAATAATTCAAATGTTCCAGTCATTGGCCACAAAATGGCTAAAAAGGAATGGGACATCTCTCAGGTCATGTGTGGTCATGAAGATAACTTTGCCTCTTAGGCAAATGAATTGGAAAAGGAGTGTTAGTGATAAATGGAAGACATTGCCTGAATGAACAGACTTTGAACTGAGAACTGTTGTTTTTGGAAATGGGATTATGTGCTTTTTAAGTACTAGGGAAACTGGCATTTCTAGCTGGGTACAAATAACACTAAGATGTTTTAAGAAAATTGCCTTCTTTCTGGGTCAGTATTAAATAGCAGGTATCTTCAAAGGGAATGGGTCGTTTTAGTTAAGAAGGATAATGAGGGAAGGAGTCTGCATAATTCCTTATGCACTTTGTTCTCATCCCTCGAACTAGAATGATTTTGCCCTCATCTTAATGCTATCTTTATGGAATGAAGAAATTTTCAAATTGGTTTTTAAACTCTATTAAGCCCTCATGTATGATATAACCCATCCACATTATTCAGGTTTTCTTGGCTTTCAGGAACAGCTTTGCAGCCATTATGTCATAATTGTACTGAACATTGTTGCATACCCTGAATTCAGAATATGCCTCTCTGGCTCCAGGCCAGACGCCTGAGTCAGTGTCTGTGGGGCTGAGGATAAGGGAAAGGGTGTAATATATGCAAAACCTGCATGTTAGCAGAAATTAGTCCAGAATCTCCTTAGATCCTTGGGTGCTAGAGGGAGTGTATAGTAACTGTACATCACTGTTCTTAATTAGTATCTTTATTTAATTTTTCTCAGTTGAATGTTTTTCTGGAAGCCCTTCCCTGATACTGTAATGTGCCCCAACCCCACTACTGAGTAGACTCCTCTGAAGCAATGATCTGGAAAGTGGGACTACTGAGGTCCAAAGAGTCTAAAACAAACTCTTGTTTACATTAAAGGTTCCTTTCCCCTTCCACTGCATATACGTCAGCTTGCTCTAGGCCTAGGCAAACACAGCACTGCTTCTGGATGGGGAGGAGAT